GGGCTGTTCATGCCCATGTGTGAGGCACCATGGAGCTGCCATCCAGGCTTTGTCTGATCCTCTCCCATTCCTTTTACACATTTCAGTCCCACACAATCTAGTGGCAAGGAATTGTGTCATTTACTTGAGCTTTGTATCAAAAAGCATTTTTTAAGCCTGCCACTGAGATTTCATTTGGCATCTTATTGAGTTCCATTGAATATCTCTAATTCTTTTGTGATTGCAAACATGGAATATTCATCTCCTGTAAAGTTATAACTGGCATGAAGAGATAGAAAAGGTCTCCCCCTGCTGAGTTGGAAGGCTGCCAGCCTCCCTCATGTGGAATTATTTCAGTTCTCTCTGCTTTAGAGTAAGGCCACGCCTGATACATCCTGACAGGACCCAAATTCTTGTTTCTCTCCCAATGGCTCTTACCTGGCTCTTACCTGGCACCTGCCCAGCACACCTGTGCCAGCATTGGGTGATGTCAGTGCCCAGTCTTGGAAGGTTCCATGTTTTGTACAATTCTGTTTAATGAATCTTCATCAGCCAAGTCTGGAGCCTCCTCAGGATGAAATAGTTTGAGTTTTGGGAGACCTGCTTGTCATAAATTCACCTGTTTGTCCTGAGAGTCTTTTGTGTGCCTGGGAAGAGCCACAGGTGTCCCTCCCCCTCTGGGAGGGTGCCTGGATGGGGGGCTGGTGCTTCCAGGCATCGTTCTGTGTAGTCTCAGTCCATCAGCACAATATAAGGTAAAAAAAGCCCAGGATTTTGGGAATGCTCTGTAAGCATCTCAGAGATCTCAGGCAAATGTTGGGACTCTTGGACACAAGTCCTTTTGATTTTTGAAAAGGTTACTGATGATATTTAATGGATTCTTCAGCTGCTGCTGAAGTGGGATCCCTCCCCTTCATGTGGCACCTGTCACACGTCTGTCCCAACATAAATCCAAATTATTTGGATTATTATTGCTGTGTGCATTTCCTATATCAGTGTGACAGTCTCAAATCAATCTTTTGGGACATGTAAATGTGAGGATTGGACACTGAGAGTCAGGGAATCAGTGGAGTTGGGAAAGATCAAGTCCAATCATCAAGCCAGTACCAGCCCCGTGTTGGTCACTAAACCGTGTCCTCAGGTGCCATATCCACGTGGTTTTTGAGCACTTGCAGATGTGAGGACTCCACCCCTGTGCTGAGCACTCCATGCCAGGGCTGGACAGGCATTTACAGGGAGGAATTTTCCCAGTATCCCACCCAAACCACTCCTGGCACCACCTGAGGCTGTTTGCCCTGGCCGTGTCCCTTGTTCCCTGGGAGCAAAGCCTGGCCCCCACCTCGTTCCACCTTCCTGTCAGGGAGTTGCAGAGGCTGAGGAGGTCCCTCCTGAGCCTCCTTTTCTCCAGGCTGAGCCCCCCAAGCTGCTCCTGGTGCTCCAGACCTTTGCCCAGCTCTGCTGGAGCCCCTCAAAGTCTTTCTTGCTGTGAGAGGCCCCGGAGTGACCCCAGCTGTGTGCACATGTACAACCATTTATAAATTTATAAACTATTTATAAGGTGATGCCTGTGCTGGCAGGAGCTTTCTGTCCCCTGGATGTGAAGCCCTTGAGCCCCAGTCCTGTGTTTGGGGGCAGAATTTGGCGTTCCAGCAGCTCTGAGCTTTGTCCCTGAGCCCTGTGGGTGCCGTGGTCACTGCCCCTGGCAGGCTGCAGGGATCCTCAGTGCTGAGTTCATGGCTCAGCAGCAAATTCAGACTGCCCCAAGCCCGTTGGGCAGCACCCAGATGTGCCTGGCTGCTGCCTGGAGTGAGTCTGGAGCACTCCTGCTGTGTACAGTTACTGCCAAAAGCTGGGAATTCCTGCAGGAGCAAGTGAATCTGTTCACAGAGGGGGGTGAGTGGATGAGCTTTAAGGTCCCTTCCCACCCAAACCATTCCACGATTCCATGTTAAAAGCAGCTACACCAAAAACCAAATGAAATCAGTGTGGAGGTGGCCCTGGCTCGTTCTGTGTGTCCCCAGAGAGGCACAGGCAGGACTGAGGGAAGGGCTGGAGCTGCTTCCCTGGTGGGGTCCAGTGCCACCGATGCTGAATGGGAGCCCAGGGGCAAGGGTGGCAGCTCAAAGCTGACGTGGCAGCTTTTCCATTTTCCCCACTTTTCCCAGCTCTGCAGCAGTTCCTGTGGAGCTGGGAGCGTGGGGCACCCTCCATGGAGGTTTGTCCTTCCTGCCGAGGAAGAAGCACAGCTCAGATCTCGGGGGGAAAACACACAGAGAGTGAAATATTCAGTGAGTGCAGGGAGGGAGCTGAGCTGTCCCTGCTGGGGCAGCTCTGCTCTGCCCTCAGTGCCAGTCCAGGCAGCCCAGGAGCAGCCTTGGGACAAAGGAGCTTTGGGAACAAACTCAAGGGTTTAGTGCAAGGAACAGCCTGAGCTGCAGCAGGAGGGGCCATTGCAGGCTGTGGATCCAGGTCCATGTTCACATCATTGCTCTCTGCATGGACCTCAAACAAACATCCACCAGTTCAGTTCCCCACCACGCTGGTTTTTGTGGGAGAACTGATTTGCTGTGGAGTTTGAAATTTTCTTTTTTACGGATGTTTATATCTAATCCAGGCCCCTTTGCTGCAGTTGTCTCAGTATTTTTACTCTGGCCTGTTTTCTCCTTGGTTTTTGCTTTTCAGTGTACACTGATGGACAGAGGGTTCTTCCCTCTCAGGCAGGTTGGCTTTCCTGGCAGGTTCCCCCATATTTTTACACTGGTTTGCTGAATGTGTGAAATCCAGGGGGTTTGTGGTATTTCTGTGTGTTAATTTGCAGCATCAGCTTCCCTTGCAGCTGCAAGTGACTCTGACCAGTGACATCAGACAGTCCTCAGCCATTGTCCAAAATCACGGTCCTGTCCAATGGATTTGGGCATGAGCAGAACCATCATTTCTTCCTGGAAATACCAGGATCCTGCTACAAGACAAGTCTCTAATCCCTGCCTGAAGACCTGGTTTTCTGTCATCCTTGGAAGCTTTTGTGTTGAGTGTAGAAATACACAATTTCCTCATCACCAGCATCATCCAGTCCAGCTTCTGGCCCTGCACAGAACAATCCCAAAAATCCCCCCTGTGCCTGAGAGCGTTGTCCAAATGCTCCTTGAACAATGCAGATGTGAGTCTTTGGAGCATTTCTAGAGTCCAGTGAGTCTGAATGGAAAAACAGGGGATTTGTGATTGGTTCCTAATAGACATGGTCGTGCAAGAAGCATTTCTGAGGTCAGGGGCTGGTTTGAGCTGGGCTGTCTCAGACGTGGTTCTCACTCATCACTGCCCCATTTCTGTCTTACCTGGGTATTCCCAAACTTGGAATTTTGCTCAGTTTCTGGCTCTTGCAGCAGAGGCAGTGAACTGATGGTCGGTCTAGGGTCAGGGATTTCCCTGGGAAGATCCCAGAGCGTTCTGCTTTGCTGTTAACTGGGTGTCAGAGGAGCTGGCAGAGCACCTCAGCTTGTCCCACATTTCCTGCAGCAGTTTTCTGTTTTGGTTTTTGTTTTAAGCTTAGCAGAATATGGAGCTCCAGAAGACGTTGGTTCTGTCATTGCAGGAGTGAAGGGGGTTGGAAGGGAAGTGTTAAGGAAGGTGAACTCGTGCTTCCTTTGCTGCCCATGCTGTGGCCGTGTGGAGCTGGCACTGACACTTGAGGTCTCTGCAGCAGCCTCTCTCCATCCTGGGCTTTGTTTCCAAAGAGGAAATGTGCAATGGAGGACAGCAGATTTGGTTCCCTAGAGGAGTCTGTGCTCATTCCTGTCACTTTCCCAGCAGCTCCCTGGTCCTTGGCCCTGAGAGAGCCCTGTCTGTCCTGGTCCTTTCCCTGTGTCCTGCCACGGGCTCCCTGTCTTCCTCCTCGTGTTGTGGCATTGTGAATGGCTCATGCTGGTGTCCTGAAAAGAAACAGCTCCAGGCCAAGTGGGACCAGCTGCTGGCAGTGGGCATGGCTGGGGATGTGGAGGTGGGAGGTAGGAAGGAGAATTGTGGATTGCTCAGCTGTGATCCTCAGGCAGAGCATCTGGGCAGAGCAGATGGGGATTTTGGAGCTGTGTGTTGATTTCCATCAATACAACAAAGCCAAGTCTCCATCCCGAGGATTCTGGACAAGGTGCCATCCTTGTCCCTGCACACTGTGCTGGGCTGACTGGAAAGCTCCGTGGCTGATGGAATTACACCAGAGCGAGCCCCAGGCAGAGCCAGTGATGTGGACACTGTCCCTGTTCTGTGAGCACTGTCCCTGTTCTGTGATCCAGTTCCAGCCCAGGGCTGCCCAGTTTTGTGCTGGAATCCCCTCCTGCCGTGTCCATCCTGAGTGAGCTGGCCGTGGGCTCAGGGCTCAGCTCTGGGAAGGGATTTGTGTGTTCCAGGGGTTGTGGAGGTGGTGCCTCTGAGGCTGAGGGCCAGGGGTCACCCACAGGGGCCAGGGGTCACCCACAGGGGCCAGGGGTCACCCACAGGGGCCAGGGGTCACCCACAGGTGCCAGAGCTCCCCCGGTGTGCCAGCAGGTGACTTGGAGCTGTGTTTTTTATTGAAAGAGCTGTCCCTTTTTGGGTGCTCTGAGCCATGACCTGTGTCCCTTTTTGGGTGCCC